ATCATCATCAAATATATTTGCATAATAATTATATAATTATTGTAAATAATCATTTAGCTTGTTGATACAAACACACACACATATATATATATCCTATTCACTGCTAGTTTTCGGATACGAGATATCCATCCTAGTCACTATGGACGTATTTGCCCAATTGACACATCTGAAGGAATTAAGATCGTGGCTTAAGAAATTGAATCAAGATAGCCGTTTGTTCCGGTATAAATAGTCATTATCTGCTCTTATACCGTGAGAGGAGCTGATTGGGATTGTTTAAGCAATTCACGTAATCATTGACCTCCTGCCAATTTATTCTGAGTAGCTTTATCGAGATCAGAAGCAAATTGTGCAAAGGCTTCTAATTCTGCGAANTAATGAATCAAGATAGCCGTTTGTTCCGGTATAAATAGTCATTATCTGCTCTTCTACCGTGAGAGGAGCTGATTGGGATTGTTTAAGCAATTCACGTAATCGTTGACCTCTTGCCAATTGATTCTGAGTAGCTTTATCGAGATCAGAAGCAAATTGTGCAAAGGCTTTTAATTCTGCGAATTGTACCAGTTCTAATTTTAATTTACCAGCTACTTGTTTCATGGCTTTTATTTGAGCTGCGGACCCCACTCTGGAAACGGAGATACCCACATTAATAGCAGGTCTGATTCCAGAATTGAATAGGTCGGCGGATAAGAAGATTTGTCCATCAGTAATGGAAATTACATTAGTAGGAATATAAGCCGAAACATCTCCCGATTGGGTTTCAACTATTGGTAAGGCGGTCATACTTCCTTCACCTAAACTAGAACTTAATTTAGCGGCTCTTTCCAAAAGGCGTGAATGCAAATAAAAAACATCTCCTGGATAAGCTTCACGACCGGGCGGTACATATAGATAAAATTTCTTTTCTACTCTTTGAATATAAGAAGAAAGAAAAGTTTTCAGTTGGTCCAATCTCCATATAAGTATATAAAGTATTGATTAATTGGTGACAATCAGACATCTTAATAGAAGGATTTAAAATAACACCAATTAAGTAAATCGGAGAAATTCGAAAGAAATATTTTTTGAACAACATCCTTATATTTTTCTTTCTTCTTATATTCAAAGAGTAGAAAAGAAATTTTATCTATATGTACTAAAGTCATAGTAACAACAGGGTAATATGCTCTAGAGAACTCAACAGTAGCTGTATAAAATTTATGTAAAAATTTAACAACATCATTAATGGCCTCCCAAGTGGTAGTTGTTAACATACGGTTTGGATTTGTACAGTGCGCATTAGCAACTTCAGTTATTGCAATCTATATTTGTAGCAACATTATATATATCCATCTAGTAACAATTTCGTCTAGCATGAATCTAGGCTTAAGGTTATGCTCGGTACACTTATTCTTAAATTCCCTAATTCTAGATTGTCTATTATTTCCTTGAATAACACAAACTGCTCTTCTAACATGTGTAATCTCAGTTGAAAATAAATCAAGGCCACTTTTAACGATTAAATTATAAACATGACATACACACCTAACATGAAAAATTTGTCAAGTGGTGGTTGCAAATGCAGTTTAATATTGAAATTGCGGCATTATTGTTAGAAACATTATCAAAGACATACACAATACTTTTTTCTTAAGATTATAAAATTCAACAACTTCGCAAATAGTAGTACTTATAAACACAACAGTATGACTCTGATCTTCATCATATTTAAAAGCGATAATACATCTTTGCATACAATAATTATCATCTATCCAATGACATGTGATTGTCAAATAATCATTTCTATTAACAGCATGACCAATATCAGAAGTTAGAGAAACTCTACAAGGAAGGTGGTCAAATAAATAACGTGTGTATGTTTGATATTGTCCATGAAGTCTAAAGATATCAGATTTATAAGTACTTCTAGGGATACCTTTAAATAAAGGATTATAAATCCTTTGAATATACATAATAAGATATGATAAAGAAGCAAAAGAAAAAGGTAGATAACTCAAAGCAATCATTTTTGCTAACTCATCACGGTCCTTCATTTTATCATATTTCATAAGTCCTCTAGTAGTAGGGTTTAGAGTTGCTTGAATTTGATCTAAATCAGAGCCCCATTCTATAGGATGCTCAATTCTCATATGTCTACTAGGTGAGTCCTCCCTAATTGTCCTTTAGTATTATGTTTAAAATCATCATCACAAAGTCTGCATTTAACTCTATCAGTACCTACTATTTTGTCAAAAAAATTTCAAACCTTACTTCTTTTTCTCCGATTAGTAGTCGGGGCCACATGTGGTCTACTACTAGCACCATGACCACCACCCCTGCTACCAACTCCAACACTACTAGGTGTAAGTGGTGTCTCATCTTCAATTTCTAATTCATCATCTTCTATATCGAAATCTTCCTGTAATTATTCATAATCTATAGTATTATCAGGTAATGTTTCAGAAACATGTGTAGAGTCATTAAAATTACTACCAGATGTTGAAGTAGTAGCTCTTTTTCTATTTCCCCGATTACCCCGATTAGTAACCTTGTTACAAACTCTTTTTGCAGCATTAAACATATTGTAAAAATTTAACTACTAGCAAAAATTAAATATGCAAATAAAAAAGTAAAAAAGAAAAAGAGTTAGAGGGAGTGCACCGAATTCGGCAGTAAATTGAACCCTTGATGATTTCGCAACTCCAATGTTACCATGAAGAAACATCAATTGTTCAAAGTTTGAAGTTCAATTGTTCAAACTTCAAATAATAAATAATAGGATAAATTAAATTCCAAAAAAATAAGAGCCAAATAGTTGATTGCACTTTAGATGAAGAATGAGAGAATGATAATTGAGAATATGAGTTTGAGAAATGAGAGATGAGTGAAGAAATGAAGAAGAGGGGGAGGGTGTATTTATAGTTTTTTCAAAGAGCTAAATTAGTAATTACAAGAAGTATTTTTTAAAAAAAAATTTGCCCAAAAAGGGCTATTTGTGCAATCCAGCCGTTGGGCAACGGCCAAAAGCCAGCTGACCGTTGCCAATGGTCTAAAATGTAAAAAAAAGAAAGTAAAAAATCTAGCCTTAAACCGGTCCGGGCCGGTTAACCGGTTCAACAGAAATTTTGGTTGACCGATCCGATTAACCGGATGTATTAAGGTGAATGAACCAACCCCTAACCCAGCCCACCCACTCCGCTTAGTACCGGTCCGGTCTGGTCCGAGTTTCAACTGATTCGGACCGGTCCGAAAACGGGTCAACCTGGCCCGTATGACACCCTTAATATATATCATTACTAGATTCGAGTAAAAAAGACAAATCGATACCTCAAAATGTGGCTCTTATAATGAGTATATAGGATGCACAAAGCCTTGTCAGATATAGGCAGCTATTAAATGCACTCGAACCATTTCCTCGAATAAGGACTTCAAAGTCTCATCCACAGTGGCATTAATATCCTATCCAAGGGTCAACGGTCATTAATATTGGATGACATGTGCTCCCTTTGCTTTTACGTCAGCAAGCAGTTTAAACAATAAATTACGAATAAAAAGTGAATTACAAAGTGTATGAAATACGTATAGGCAGACTAATAAAGTTATGGAAATCTGGGTCAACTTTAATGCTACTCCTAAACCGAGGCTTGAAACCGTTAAAAATTGCAAGAAAAGCACCACTTATTGATGCCCTTTAATTCCATAAAATTGTGTGGATATTAATTGTAAGCCAGATCACTTAAGAAACATATCCACATTATTTCTCTTTTTTGCTTTAATCGGTTTTAATTGAATTAAGCAAAAGTGATATTGGCCACCTTATAGATATTGGCCAAAACACCAACAAAATTTGTAAATTTAAGCAAAAAAATGTGCATTAATTCAGATGGAGTCAGAATTTTATTTCATAGTTCATCTTACCAAATAAAAAAAATCGGAGAGAAGGAAATGATACCCCAAAATACTAGGCGTAATTAATTCGACTTAAGATAGAAAAAAGAATATCTGAAGTCAAACGTACACATGACCGACCCACTACCATCTCCTTCGCGCCTTTGCTTAAAGCTTAATCCCTCTATATTTTGGTAATAACATCACATCACTTTGATAGGTCAACTGTTACTGATAATTTGATCTCAGATGGCACGGCCACAGTTCACCGTTATTCTCGCGATCATCTCTCTGTTGATCCATTACGGTGTCGTTTCCGGCTTCCGATTATCTGATGTTACTAACGGCAGCTCCGTTTTCCTCCCTTCGCCGGCCGACGGCAGCCGTCACACAACCATGCTGCTGCCGCTCTTTCCTCCGAAAGACACTTCACGCCGTGCGGAAATCTCCCGTCGCCACCTCCAGAAGAGTCCTGCCAGTGCTCGCATGTCTCTCCATGATGATCTCCTCCTCAACGGGTTCGAATTCGCAGATTTTGCTCAGAAAATTTAAATTCACTGTTACTAACTCTTTTGACTACTGATTCACATGTGTATTTTGCGTTTTCACTGTGGAATATATTTCTACACCTCTAGTTCAGACTAATTTCTTTATTAGTATTTTTTATTTTGTTGAATGGGTTCCAAGTAACTTGTGATGCAGATACTATACAACTCATATTTGGATTGGAACACCACCGCAGAAGTTCGCTCTTATTGTTGATACAGGGAGTACAGTTACCTATGTCCCTTGCTCTGAGTGTAAAAAGTGTGGCAGCCATCAGGTTTGCTCATTTCTCAACTATCTCTTTGTCCTTCTTTCCCTCTTTTCTTTTTCTGGATAATATTGAAGGTTTACATATTTATCTTAACTTTTCAGTTGTGTATTTGGTAGCTAGATATGGAAATTAAAATTTGAAAATGTTTATGTATAGGTATAAGTTCATAAACATTACTTTAAGATACTTTTTGTTTGGAAGGAACTCGTTTAGTAGGATACATTTATTTATAAGGATTAAGGAAAAGAGGAGATGGATAGGTAAACAAGAACAGACCAATCTAAGTAGGATACAAATAGTTCTAAGCCTCTCTTTGTTGATAAGCTGTACAAATCCATTGTATATTTTCATGATGTTTTAAATGTGATTCTTGCTCAATTTGCCTTGTAATCTTAAAGGATCTCCTAATTGGAGAAAATATGAGCGCTTAAGAAACTTCATGACTAGTAATTTTACTTTGAGTCAGCCTATTAATTTTGTGAGAAATGCTTAATATAGCACTTAGAATTGCTTGGCATTAGATTTCTGTCTTTTGATCGGTGGTACTCTGTATGATGTCTTATTTAGGATCCTAAGTTTCAGCCGGAAATGTCAAGCACTTATCAATCTGTGAAATGCAATAAGGCTTGTCCCTGCGACCATAAGAGGCAGCAATGTATTTATGAGAGACGGTATGCTGAGATGAGTGCAAGTTATGGGTTGCTTGGAGAGGACATCATTTCTTTTGGAAATCTAAGTGAGCTTGCACCACAACGAGCTGTTTTTGGATGTGAAATTGCGGAAACTGGTGATCTTTACAGCCAACGTGCTGATGGTATAATGGGCTTGGGCCGAGGTGATCTTAGTATAGTTGATCAACTTGTGGAGAAACATGTAATTAGTGACTCTTTCTCCTTGTGCTATGGAGGGATGGATTTTGGTGGCGGGGCAATGGTTCTTGGTGGAGTAAAACCCCCTGCTGACATGGCATTTACCAAATCAGATTTTGGTCACAGGTATGTATAGGAAACAATTGTTTAGAGACACAGTGATGTTAGGTCTCCTCCTAGCAAATACACTTGATAAAT